GGGACGGAGTTTTCCCAGGACATGGGGTCTTGAGTGCTAACTCTTTGGAGGTTTGGTCCCCATATGCCCGGCACATCACGGCACACACAGCGTGTGAACATTCAATATCCCCTGAGTGAGCTAGCTGGAGTCTGGAACAGAGAACTGGCTAGAGTTTCAGTCCCATTTTTCTCTGTCAGGCCTAAGACTGAGGATGCATCTCTTCACTGCTCTGCACTTTATTTTGCTTTAAATCTCTTGCTAATCCGATAGGATGAAGCATTACTTCCAACAGTGGGCTAGTGAAGGTCTGTAGACAGGTTCTGAGATGAGGAAGGCACCAGAGAATAAACACCTCGTGTATAATCCTTTTTTATGGAGGTGGGTCACCCACAAAGTACTCTTTTCAATTCAAAAATACAGTTAGGATTTATTATGTACCAGGCAACATAGGCAATGCAAGCTATGTCACATACACTGCCATCCCTCCAAGAGGGGGACACTGATACAATGAACTATTTCTACTACAAGGTTACCAGACAGATCCCTAAGATGGCAAAGGCCATGGGATCTGGAGAAGAGAGCATTAGGGTACCTCTGCTTATTACATGCCAGCTACCTTACATTCATGATCTCGATTCACAGCTAACACTTCTTGAGCACCTACCATGAGATTAATCCATTTAACTTTTATAACAATTCTATTACTATACTCATTCTATGAATGAGGAAAATGAGGCTTTGAAAAGTCAACTATCTTACTCAAGATTGCAAATTAGTAAAGGAAGTCTCTAGGGTCTGAATCCAGAGAGTTAGGCTTTGTCCCCGGCACTGTATGAGACTGAATCTCTACCCTTGTGGGAGGCTGGACCCTCAACACAACCAGTGTGTTGGACACGCAACCGGGCGAGTCTGGGAGCAGAGGAGTGTGGGTGCACCCGGTGGAAGCATGGCGGAGGAAAACAGGAGGTGGGGTCTCTGAATCTAAACTGTAGGATCCCAAGGCATGACAGTGGGGGCCCTGGGAATGCTGATGCTCTAAGGGACACCGGCAGGACAAATGGTGTCCTTTGGCCCCTGGCTGCATTTGAGTCTAAAGAATGTATGACTAGAATGTGAAGCCAAATGCCTGACTTCTTGGTCATCCTTCAAGGGCCAAAGATGAGTGGCAGTCATTATTTTACATTTTTTAAGAGTGCATCTGTAAATCCTCAAAAGTATATCTTTCTTATGTACTTAGAACATCTGAGCAACTTACTTTGCATATATTGGGCGCTTGATCTATGCAAATCAAATAAAAATAAAAATGTGTTGATTTGATATGCTGTGACTGACTTTAATACGTGCATTTGCAACAGTGGATTTAGAAGTTAGGAATTCTAGCACCGTCAGCTATTGAAAGTGCTCATTTCAGTAATAACAATCCACAAGTACAGTATTCATAGTGGGCTATGCTAAGTATCCAGAGTTTGACATTGCATAGTTATTGTTCGTGAAACATCCTCAATATCTTTTTCTTTTCTTTTATAGGTTCTGGTTTGTGTAAAATAAATATATAATTTCAGATAATTAAGCATTAAAAACACTTGCTGTTAATTTGTAAAAGCATTAAAATTAGTCTCCCTGTAATCATAATTAACAAAGCATAAAGGTAGGAAGGATACGACTTGAAGCAAGATTTAAAGAAATATAAGTTTCTGATACCCTCCCCTTCACTGTTAATAATTCCTGGTTAATCCAGTGGTAGTTTCCCCCCCAAAGAGGCTCTTATCTAGAATACAGGGTTTTAGGGGGCATTTCTGTGGCTCTGAGACTTCAGTCAGCTCCTGGCACGGCCAGGTTTTAGAACCCCAGTGGCCTCTTCTTCAGAAAATAACGAAGTTGTCTGATGGCAAAGAAAAGGGCTTTCTGTACTTTCTGACTTCCACTCAGCTACGTCCTACAATGGCCTTTATGTTTCTGTAGAAGTAGAAGCTGATGTTCAGATCTGTCCATCTGATGCTCCGGCTCCTTTAGCTCAGTGGAACCAACACTGTGTGTGCTTAGAGGCGCCCTTCCTCCTGGGGGGCCTGCAGGTCAGATGAAGGTATTCCCTCCACCTGAGCCTGTCAGTTATACACTCGCGGGTAGCAGAAGCGCGTTCTCTTCTCTGTGAGGTCAGAGTGGTTTCTCTGCTCTTTTCCTTTCACGGCCCCACCCACTCTTTCCTTTGCCCTTGACATTTTCTAAAATTAGCTTTATCATTCTTCCCAGCATTTTACCAGTAACCCCCTTGAGCTGTTTGCATAGCCTTTTCTTCTTGAAGTGGCTGTTTACTCACGGCAGCCTTTACACAGGCCAGACTAGCCAACTCACTCAAGAGGCACTTCAGCTTCTTCCCACACTAGCTGTCCAACCAAATTCAGGACAACATACTTCCTGTCCCCAAGAGCTTTCTAGAAAGCTGTTGTAATAAATATGAAGAAAATTAGCACTTCTTTAGCCAATGATATGCCTTAATTATACCCAGAAAGTCTTGCCCTCTTCCAGAATTCTTGAGTGATGCAAAAAAAAAATAATAAATATCTACACTAATAAAAAAGAAACATGCAAATTGGTGTCACTCCGCTACGCCCACAAGCCAATCAGGATGAGTATGCAAATTAACCCAACAAAGATGGTGGTTAATTTGCATAAGCAGGTGCGGAGCAAAGACTGAAGACTGAAGACAACTGAAGACTGAAGAGGTTTGGCTTCTCCGCTGTGGCTAGACCAAATACCTGGGTCCCGGGTGCCAGAGGAAAACCAGTGCCGGCAGCCAGGGCAAGGAAGGCCTATTGCGTGAATCTTCGTGCAACAGGCCTCTAGTAATAAATAAAATGAAATAAAAAATCTGTTATAGCATTATAACAGATTTCAAGTTCAGAAACTCTAAAGGTCATACATGACATTCACTATTCTTTGCCAGATACAGGTACTGTATTAAACATGTGTTTTATTTTTTGTACTTGGATTCTTTAACATCTAGAGTCTTACAGACCACGAAGGTCCCAGGGCTAGCCAATCCTAGGGATAGTAAATAATTCAGCCTCAAGCTATTTACTCACTCATCAATCCCTACCAACAGAACCCACACCCCAACCACCTCCTCTCTCTCCTCTCACACTTAGGTTCCTACTCCCCTGCCTTCATCACCTCAAGGCCAGCTACCAGACAACCAGGTAGCCCCTAGGCCCAGAGCCCTCTGAAATGATTCAAACGGGTTCATCTTAAACTTGCTTACCTGCCTTGCCCATTCCTTCCCAGGGAAACCATAATACAGGCTCTTGCCCACATTCTCCCTGCTCCCTCTGCCTCAACCAATCCGGTTGCTTCCCTGTATGGCCCCCATGACACAATGTGCCCCTTCTCTTGGGATCTGTGAGCATAACAAACTATCTTTTGAGAGTTTGATCTGTTGGCCTCACCATACATAAATAGTAATAAAACCTTTATTTTAGAAACATTTACATAAAGAGAAAGGAAGATAGGGTAGCACAAGATGACAGCCTGCTCTGCATTCTGGCCATTATTCAGATGCACATGGATGAAACACAGATGCTCTCTCAGTTACATTTCACAAAACTGCCCCTTAATGTTTCAGGAAGAAAGCAGGATTTTACTATAAAGCAGTGTGTTATTCTGGCTAAAAAAGCCCTTTGTAGAGCTGACTAGAAATATCCATGATGGGCATCACGTTAAGATACCACATGTCACGAAAGATGGTGGGTTTCCCAAGGCCCTTGGCTTCTAGAGTGCAGACTGGGTCTAATTGTAACAATAACTTGGGGATTCTTACCATTTGCAACAGCATGGATGGACCTGGAGAGCATTATGCTAAGTGAAATAAGCCAGTCAGAGAAAGATAAATACCACATGGTCTCACTCATTTGTGGAATATAATGAACAACACAAACTGATGAACAAAAATAGAGCCAGAGTCATAGAAGCATCGATCAGACCATCAAACCTCAGAGGGAAGGTAGGGGAGGGTGGGGTTAAGGGAGAAATCAGCCAAAGGACTTGAATGCATGCATATAAGCCTAACCAATGGACATAGACACCAGGGAGGTGAGGGTATGAGTGGGGGGCGGGGAGGTAATGGGGGGATAAAGACAGATATGTAATACCTTAATCAATAAAGAAAAAAATTAAAAAAAATAATAACTTGTGAAGAAAATGAATGCTGGCCCCCAAATGATAACAACAAAGTTTTGTATCAAATGTTCTGGGTTCTAATATGTTCTATTAAAACCGTGTCCCAGCCCTAGCTGGTTTGGCTCAGTGGATAGAGCGTTGGCCTGCGGACTGAAGGGTTCTGGGTTTGATTCCGGTCAAGGGCACATGCCTGGGTTGTGGGCTCGATCCCCAGTAGGGGGCATGCAGGAGGCAGCCAATCAGTGATTCTTTCTCATCATTGATGTTTCTATCTCTCTCCCATGCCCTTCCTCTCTAAAATCAATTTAAAAAACACGCAAAAAGTTGTGTCCCAGCGGATCTGTATGAAAAGCAAGGGTCCTGTGATGCTGTACTCTCGTCTGGCTTGTTTCTATCCCAGAGTACAGGCTACTCAAGGCAGTTTTACTTGACTTTGTCTGCCTCACAGCTGCCACACAGAAGGTGCTCAGTATCTATTTACCCCCTGAAGAGATGCTTCTGATCATCTTTTGATGACACTTAAGAGACGACACGAGAGAGCAAAGGTGTCCGTTTAAGGGATTAAGTCATTAGGTGACTGGTGTTGGAGCTGAGAATTAAAGCTACTCCCTTTGGCCCAACCATTACGATCCCATTTTATCCTGCCACCTCTCCGAGAGGAATTTAAGACCCTTATTTGGTGGTCATGGACATTTGGCATCTTCTGACCTTTAAAGTCTATCTCATTCTGCAATGCTTCCACTAACATGGACCCATTAGTGAGCAATTTGCCTGGGTCCGGAAGTGCACCGTGACCAACGGCTGAGCTCCGGGGTGTGACTTGGTCACTGCAGGGTGACACTCACCAAGGGCTCCAGCTCCTTGCGGTCGATGAGGTTCATCTCCGTGACGAAGTAATAGAAGTGCTTGTAGCAGGTGTTGACATGGGCCTCTGCGCCCATCACGATGACCCGGTCGAAGTGGTGGATGTAGACGTGCACGAAGACCCGGAAGAGGCGACACAGGATCTTCTTGCAGATCTGGAGGAAGTTCTTTGGGAAGGGGACACCTGGAGAAGGCAACAAAGAGAGAACAAAACCATGACGGGAAAGCTCCGGCAGCCCCGGGACCAGGCGGAGGCTGAGAGCATCCTGGGCCCGAAGCGCCAGACACCGCCTAACACAAGTGTTAAAGTCAAACGCCAACAACAACCAGGAAGAGACCCCCCAGGAAGAGGAAAAGGGCCTGGTTTGTTTCTTTGGATCTATCTTATCTTGGTGCAAATAAGTGGGCAGAAATATTTTTATATAGAAATGTGCATTCTCACATATTGCCTTTTAATTTTTTCCCATTTTATAGAGCACAAGAAAGTTCATTTCCCTGCTCTAATATAAGAAAACTGGTAGGAGGAGGGTGACCCTGCAGGGAGACTGGCACTCCCTGTCACAGGGTACTAGGGAGTGGTGGAGACTGTGGCAAACACAACTCTAGCCAGTGGTGGCCAGCTTGGGATTTTTCCAGATAATTCAATAATCTGGAGCTCTATGTGATTTGCTGCATTAAAAAAAACAAAAAACAAAAAACCACAAACACATTAGCAATTAATCTAAAAGTTTAAAGAATATCACAGCTCAAAACAAGACATTTTTCTAAGATAGATGCGCCTGCAGGTTACCAGCGCACCAATTCCGATGGGAACTTTTCCTGAGACACACTGTTTCTGAGGTGGGCAAAGGCAGCAAACTTCAGGAATACCTCGCATTACATTCATTGCCACTTCATTGCCTTGAGGAGGGTGAGAGAGGAGGGCTATGTTTTCCATAACACAGACAGAGTGCATGGTCAGACGAGGCACCCACAATCCCCTTCTGACGACAGCTACTCCCAGGTGGTCAGGCAGCAAACAGCAGACCCGCAAGCCTATTCCTCTCTCCCTCTCACACAATGCCTAAGCGCCTGTGAGTTACACTGTCCTAAGTGATGACATGTTACGGATTGCTGAGTGAAACAGACGGTGAATTCCCGCTCTGCTCCTTTCCCAGCTGCTTGACCTCTCTGACCTTCAGTGTTTCTATATGTAGAATGCAGATAAATATTCCGATGATTGTATTAGAAGTAGTACCTGTGCAACTTTGGTTTCCCGCCTATGACAAGGGGGTCGTGATGAGGCCTTCCTTGCATGGCTAGGAGGGTGTTAACTCAAGAAAAACCCTCCCAAGTGCCTAGAACAGAGGGAGGGCTCACTAAGTGGGAAAGACCCTTCTCTGTGCAAGGCAAGGCCTGCAGCATGTAGCTGTGATTATGAGGGAAATAGTTACCTCAATAGGTAGACATGACGGCCGGCCTGTCCACAGAATTGCAGAGCTGAGCTCAGGGCGGCCCCTGGCCCCCCAGAGCCTGGGGTTTGCTGTCTGTGCCTCCACAGGGTCCCCGTGGCAGCTGCCTGGTAAGGGACACTCTGTAAGTGTAACGGGATCACCTGGCACTCCCAGGGCAAGACGAGAGAGACGGCACACGGCTGGCAGTTGGCAGAGGCAGGACCTGCCTCCCCAGGGCCCAGCACTGATAGCGGCTTTTCTTCCAAAACAAAGTGGCAACATATCAAGTGAACCCGGGAGAGACTTGGGCACAGCTTGGCAGCTGACTGTCTGGGCAACAGATGCTTGGATTTGGAGGGGAGTGGGAGGTAAAGCTGGGGAGGAGGTGGAGGGCAGCCCCTCAAAGAGTTCATGGGCTGTTTCCTCTGCTGCGGGAGAGGGGTGGGCAGGAGAACCCCTGCTGCAGGCTGGAAGGGGGTCTGGAGCCTTCTAAGAAGCTCAAGTCCCAAAGGGAATAGATCCCCTTGAAGACAAGTGTGTTCCCGTCAGAAGAGGCGTCCGGTAGCCACACAGTGCCAGTGCCAGTGCCAGGGGTTGGCATATGTGACCTGCGCAGCCCGCCTGTGAAATGGGTTTTACTCCTGTGTCACAGACGAAGGGCACTGAGGCTCCGTTGCGCCGATGCACTCATTCCAGCAGCTTAGCTGGTGGCGGGGCTGGGATTTGGACCAAGTCAGCTTGCCTCTAAAATCCAAAAGATCTGGTTGTGTTTGGAGTGTGACTCTCTCTGCCAAGAACAGAGGCACAGCCCATTGCTAAGCACAACGAGGCATCTGCAGGTTACTCTTGGTGGCACGAAAAAAAAATTTAAAAAAAGAAAAGGGAGCTGTAGCGGGTTTGGCTCAGTGGATAGAGCGTCGGCCTGCGGACTGAAAGGTCCCAGGTTCGTTTCCGGTCAAGGGCATGTACCTTGGTTGCGGGCACATCCCCAGTAGTGGGTGTGCGGAGGCAGCTGATTGATATTTCTCTCTCATCAATGTTTCTGGCTCTCTATCCCTCTCCCTTCCTCTCTGTAAAGAATCAATAAAATATATTTAAAAAAAGAAAAAGAAAAGGGAGAGAGGGTGAAAAATGTCCACCCCTAGGGAGCCACAGACCCGAGTGATGAAGGTCAGCTAACAATCTGCAGTCCCCAAGAGAAATGTGTTTTCTCGCCCATGCCTTAAGACCATGGATCTGAGATGAAGAGTAAAAGCCAACATTTACTGAGCACTTACTATGTTCTAGGGACTGTACCAAGGGCTTTACCTGGATTACCTGATTGAATCCTTGAACAACTCTCAAAGATAGATGCTATTACTGTTTCCATCTCACAGATGAGGAAACAGACTAGCATCCATTCCTCTGACAAGCTCTGAGCTCTTGTCTCTGCCCTCCACTCCACACCTGGTCTCTGGTCTTTCCTTTGGCCTTGACCTTGGTTTGCTCTCGCCTCTCCCCTTTAGGCTATGGCAGGGAATTTCCTTTGTGTTTTTTTTTAATATGTTTTTTTAAAAACGTTTTTATTGATTTTTTAGAGATAGAGGGAGGGAGAGGGATAGATAGAAACATTGATGAGAGAGAAACATCATCGATCAGCTGCCTCCTGCATGTCCCCAACTGGGGATCAAGCCTGCAACCAGGGTATGTGCCCTGATGAAGAATCGAACTGGTGACCTCTTGGTTCATGGGTCGACGCTCAACCACTGAGCCACACCAGCTGGGCTGGGAATTATCTTGAAGTAGTTGAGAGGAGTTGGTTTTGAAGTTTGAAGACTTTAGTTTAAAATCCTAGTTCTACAACTTACTAGTTGTCTAGGCAAATCACTCCGTCACTCTCCTTCATCATGGAGAAAAACATTTACTCTGCAGTGTTCTTAAAAGAGGATGTGTAGGATGCCTGGCACTTAAGGGGGAACTTTGGGACTACGTCCTACTTCTGTTATTTCCCACCTGACCTCAGGTAGGTAGGCCATCAGGCTCCGAACCTCTGCTCGGGCTGCTAAGTTGGGGCTGACTCTTTCACCACGGTCTCCCTTACATGTCATTAACTCTTCAAAAGTGAACGTTGCAAAATGGCTCAGCGTGTGCCATAGTCAGCCCAGGCCAGCTCTGGAAGCTGAGAAGCCCCAGGCTGGGAGTCTCAGGGGCACTAGGTTTCACTGTGAGCCAGAGACAAAATCCCAGCTCGCAGAGCATGGGGTTGAGAACAAGAAAGTTACGGGGCATTTGGGAAATTCATTCAATATTATTGATGGTTCAGGAAATAATTATGTAGTCTGTATACCATCCTAACCCTTTTCTCCCTTTGTCCTCTGCCTTGCAGGTGTTCAGATATGCAGGTATGTGCATCTTTGTAAGTGTGTGTGTGCTTTTCAATAAACCTTCCTCAAAAGGTGGGGAGTGGATGTAGAGAACTAGATGGCCACCCCTTTGGTGGACCCTCTGTCACTGGCCTCATGGTAGCAAGACAGGGAAGGGCTCAGCCCTGCTGATCCACTCCCTTCCCCAACAGCTCCAGAAGGGCCAGATCACAAAAAATTGATTGACATGAGAGGTTTTGTTTTTATGGTGCCACTAGAAGTCTCCCATCTCCATAGCCACAGACAGGCGAACCCTGAGTGAGGCCTGAGATGTGCAGGTAGGATATTGTCTAGTCCCAGTGACACCTGAGCAGGGGCATTATTGTTATTATTTTTTTTTTCATGTAACGGAGTCTTAGCTCAGTTAAAGTGTTGGCCCTGGCCCCATAGCCGAAAGAAGGTAAGGCAGGCATTTGGCCCTAAAACTCGGGTTCTTCCTTCCACGTCTGTTCCTGCAGGCTCCATGGTGGCAGGGACCCCCACTGCTGAGATGGCTGCTTTTCGACCTGCACTTTGTTCAGTACCTGCCTTGTAGAAGCTCAAATAATGTCCGTTTGTTTGCTTTTTTAAACTTATTCTATTGATTTCAGAGAGGAAGGGAGAAGGAGAGAGAGAAAAAAACATCAGTGATGAGAGAGAATCACTGATCGGCTGCCTTCTGCATGCTCTACACTGGGGATCAAGCCTGCAACCCAGGCATGTGCCCTGACCGGGAATCAAACCTTGACCTCCTGGTTCATAAGTCAACACTCAACCACTGAGCCATGCCGGTCGGCTGTTTGTTTGCTTTAAATGAAAATAGTCTAGCACAGCGGTCGCTAACCTTTTGGACCTCACAGAGCATCAGTGGTCCACTGACCATCGGTTGGCGACCGCTGGTTTGCAGGAGGAAGAATAAAAGGCTAGGGAATCATTTCAAGCGGACATTGGGAAGGTTACAAATGGCAGCCTGAACCTGAGGGGCTGTGCAATGTCTGGGTCTGGGCCAAGGGCAGTCTATGGGGTCCACAGGGCATCCCTGACCTAGCTCAGGACCATAGTCCACCCCCTCCCACTGCCAAGTTCACAGATTCTGTGGACACTACACTCTAGGTATTTTTTAAAAATCACTAATCCTGGGAGATCCTTGGCTAAAACAATAGGATCCTGAGGTCAAATATATTTGCAAAAATGCTACTTTCACAGAAGTTTGCAGTATCCTAAACACAGGAAAGGATCTGAGAATCCCTGCAGCAAAAAGTCCTATTTAACTCCGGAACCTCCTTTCCCCATAATATCTGTTGATTTCAAACACAGCATCTGTAATCAGCCTTCTCAGGTCTTCTTTCTGGCTCTGCTCCCTATTAATA